ACTGACTGACAGTGAGACGTTAGGGCAATAGACAGACTAATTGACAGTGGGATGTCAGAGCAATGAACTGTCTGACAGTGGGATGACTGAGCAATGGGCAGATTGACTGACGGTGGGATGTTAGAGCAATGAACTGACTGACAGTGGGATGTCAGAGCAATGAAGTGACTGACAGTGGGGTGTCTGAGCAATGGACAGACTGACTGACTGACAATGGGATGTCAGAACAATGAACTGACTAACAGTGGGATGTCAGAACAATGAACAGACTGACAGTGGGATGTCTGAGCAATAGACAGACTGACTGCCAGTGAGATGTTTGAGCAATGGACAGACTGAATGACAGTGGGGTGTCTGAGCAATGTACAGACTGAATGACAGTGGGATGTCTGAGTATTGAACAAACAGAATGACAGTGTGATGTCTTAGCATTGGACAAACATAATGACAGAGGGATGTCTGAGCAATGGACAGACTGAATGACAGATGTCAGAGCATTGGGCAGACAGAATGGCAGTGGGATGTCTGAGTAATGGACAGACTGACTAACAGTGAGATATCTGAGCAATGGACAGACTGAATGACAGTGGGGTGCCTGAGCATTGGACAGACAGAATGACAATGGGATGTCTGAGGAATGGACAGACTGACTGACGGTGGGGTGTCTGAGCATTGGACAGACAGAATGACAGTGGGATGTCTGAGCAATGGACAGACTGACTGACAGTGGGATGTCAGGGCAATGGACAGACTGACTGACGGTGGGGTGTCTGAGCATTGGACAAACAGAATGACAGTGGGATGTCTGAGCAATGGACAGACAGAATGACAGTGGGATGTCTGCGCAATGGACAGACAGAATGACAGTGGGATGTTAATGGACAGACAGAATGACAGTGGGATGTGTGAGCAATGGACAGACTGACTGACAGTGGGACGTCAAGGCAATGGACAGACTAATTGACAGTTGGATGTCAGAGCAATGAACTGACCGACGGTGGGATGTTAGAGCAATGGACAGACTGAATGACAGTGGGGTGTCTGAGCAATGGACAGACTGAATGACAGTGGGATGTTTGAGCATCGGGCAGACAGAATGACAGTGGGATGTCTGAGCAATGGACAGACTGACTGACAGTGAGATGTCTGAGCATTGGGCAGACAGAATGACAGTGAGATGTCTGAGCAATAGACAGACTGACTGACAGTGAGATGTCTGAGCAATGGACGGACTAAATGACAGTGGGGTGTCTGAGCATTGGACAGACAGAATGACAGTGGGATGTCTGTGCATTGGACAGACAGAATGACAGTGGGATGTCTGAGCAATGGACAGACTGACTGATGGTGGGGTGTCTGAGCATTGGACAGACAGAATGACAGTGGGATGTCTGAGAATTGGACAAACAGAATGACAGTGGGATGTCTGAGCAATGGACAGACAGAATGACAGTGGGATGTCTGAGCAATGGACAGACAGAATGAAGTGGGATGTTGATGGACAGACAGAATGACAGTGGGATGTGTGATCAATGGACAGACTGACTGACAGTGGGACGTCAGGGCAATGGACAGACTGACAGTGGGATGTTTGAGCAATAGACAGACTGACTGCCAGTGAGATGTCTGAGCAATGGACAGACTGAATGACAGTGGGGTGTCTGAGCAATGTACAGACTGAATGACAGTGGGATGTCTGAGTATTGAACAAACAGAATGACAGTGT